CCGTCTCTAGAAGCAGACATCTGCTGTGAGAAACACATCTGCAAACTAAAGCAAACTAAACTCAGTCAAGAGTTGACTGAGTTTACTTTTACAAAAGGTGTTCAGGTACTTTCACAGATATGTTTTACATTTCTGCAGCACTAATTCATTTTGTATTACTATATGAGTTTTAATCAAATGGTTTATGCATTACAGGCCTTTTATTTTCCAACTATAACCTAAAGTAGCAAAAATAAAAAAATGTAGATGCATTAACTAAATCCGCCTCTTAGATGATTTGCATCGTTCCTTGGAGAAAAAGAATAGAAACATGAACAATGATGCACTTTCTAGATCAGAGCTTTCTTTCCTATAACACAAAAGTCAACTAATAAGGCAGCGTTTATTCAACCACACCTTTAGATTTCAGTAGCTTTTAAGTAAACAACACCAAACAGGATGTCTTGAGGCTGGAATAAACCTAACCACCAACAGCTAACTAGCTACTTGAATCTGTATTAAAGCATATTTCTGAGATATTTTATCTGATTAGTGTACAAACAAGTTTGATCTGTGCAAAACTGTAAGCTTGAATAGATACCGAATTGTCTTATTTTCTATTCATGATCTTAAGTAAGCTGGATGTACTTGATGGATGGAGCTAAAGTATTTGATGCTTTTTAAACGAATGTCTTTCTGCAGGGTTATAAGCTTTGTGTTAAAGTTTTTACATAAATTACATTTCCACACTGGCTCTAAAATATAACTTATTTTGTTTTATGAGTCCGACCAGTTTAGCACAAAAATTATCAGTCAAATATAACCCTAAAAACTGGAGGTTAATATAAACAGGTTGATTATCACGCTGATGAATAGGAGTTTCTACCTCAAACACAGGGTCTCCGGTGAAGCGGCTTAAGGCAGCAAACTCCAGGATCATGGTGCCTGCGCACGCCGTGCAGGTGTCCGTTTCTGTACCAGTCCTTGTCTCTGGTCCCCTGACGCCATGTTTCAAGTTTATCTTGTAATTAAAAGAGAGAAAAAAAACTAAAGCATTAAAGATCTGTTTTTTGTTTGATTGATTTGCAACAGACTCCACGCAGAAACAAGTCAAGCATGAAATTGTCTTCAGAGCTCTCTCAGTCTCAGGCGGTGCAGTAAAGCGAAAAATACAAATAAGTTTTGATCCGAGACGGATTGCATCTTATTTGCATTTTAAAAGTTTATTGCTTGGAACTAATTAAAAATACATATTTTATTAGAATCCACAAAGATGTTTTTTTCTGCTATATGACAATTACAATAAGATTTAACTTTATTTCTGAGCATGTTATGATGAGAACTGCAACAGTCTGAAGGTGAATTAGAGTCCGTCTCACCCTGGGATAAGGCAGGCCGCTGCTGGTGTTGAAGGCTGGCAGCAGTCGGAGTCCCAAGTCTTTGGCCATATGCAGAAGCTCATCTTGGTACCACTGCATCTGCCCTCCTCCCTCTTTCAGCATCACAGCCATAGAATGGCCACCAAGAAGACCCCTGTGAGAAAATGGTAAAAAAAAATAAAAATATAAAATCAGTGCAACAGAAGCCACTGCGTCTCTTATTTTGTATCAAGTCAGATCAGGTGTCCAGTGTTTACTTAAGCCACTCAGTAAAATAAGTTGTCATAGAGAATACTACAGAAATAAGAAATATATGTTGTCAGATTAGTTAAATCTCACCCAAGGACTCGGATGTTAGTTTCAAAGACTGACACCACGATGTCGTTATCCAGCCGCACATCTGAAAGGACTCTCCTGACAGCAGCTTCAAACTCTGTCGTCTTATTCAGCAGCTGCAGAAAAAAGACAAAATCAACCACAGTTACAAGGCAAATAAAAGCAATGTAAAGCTAAAAAAATAAATAAATAAATACAAGCCAAGCTAAAACTAAAAGATTATGTAAATTTTACTGATTTTTTATTTGTTTGGTTTTTATTGCTTTGCTTGTTTTCTTTATTTTTGTCTAACTTTACAGTTTAGGAAAAGCGAATTACTTTGATATCACCTGACTAATTTGACCAATGTTGTTAAGCAATGTTGTTGCTATTCTTGGATCAGTGAATTCTTGTAGATTTTTCTCTGAATGCTTTTATTGTGCAGAAGAACCCCTGCTACATTTACAAATTGTTGTACATACAATATTATTCAACAAATCATGCAAAGTAACTAAATATCAAGAATACTCACCACCAAAGTGTCCAAGGTGTCTATGAGGGTCAAAGAAAACCTAGAAGAGACAGAAAATTAATCTTAAATATAAAGTTAATTATTACTCAACAGATAAGGAGTCTTTTTTTGGTATTTCGTGGTATTTATTACAATGACAGAAAAATACCTTTGACATTTATCACATTTTTTTGTCATAAATCTGCGACTGTGTTTAGTCATGAAAACAACCACTCGTCTAATATCAAAACATACTGCAATGGTTACCTCTTATCAGAGCTACGTAAGTGCCAAACATCTCAGAAGAGATGAAATGAATCATAATTTAAAGCAAAAACAGAACCCTTTGATGATGAGCTAATTGAAAAAATCTCCTTTACATAGTCAATTTCTGGCTTTTGCAAACATTGACCCAAAGGAATTAATCGTTATAATCAAAGGATGAATTTTAAATATAACACATTTTTTTTCCCACAGTAACATGAAACAGAAAAACAAAACAATGCATGCTACTTACTTCCCAAGTGCATCATCAAGGTCTCCTCTACTGGGTTCAAGCCCACGTACCCTACCTCTGCAGGTCAGAGGCATCAGCTCATCTGCGGGGTATGCATGATCCTGGAATGATGAAAAAAAAAAAAAGGGATTTCCATGATGCAGAATTCTTGTTTTTAAACAGAATATGACCAAACTGATCAAAACAAATGAATGGTTAAACTTAAAACCGTGGACAAGATTGTGCTGCATAAGTATTCAGATGTTCAGATAAATATACCAAGTCAAGAAAGTTTTAAACACAAATGAAATCCTACCATGTAATTCTGATAAGCATGGTCAAACATCTCCACCACCTGGTTCCTTTAATAAAAACATAAAACATTAGTATAAAGTTATTTTTTTTGTCATTTATCAATCAGGTTATTTAACTTACCTTAACTTTTGCTTCTCCTCTCGGGACATAGCATCTCCAAAATGGCATAATGCTCCCAAGAGCATCAACAGGCCAAGAACAGGTTGCATGTTAGGAAGTGTGGGGATGATCGCAGCAATGAGCACACAGCTGCAGTTTATACCAAAGATCCAGTCATCACCACAACCCTGACCCAAACAGACACCATGACACTCACCCACTTAAGCCTTTGAGTTCATATCTTTAAGTTAATCTGATCTACAGCGAATCCAAAGGTTTATATCTGCGCCCCCAACAAATAAAAGTGCAATCCAAGGGTTGAGAGGAATGTTGTTTCTTTCAAGTACTTAGATGTCAAAGTAAATGCACAAGAAATGAGATGTGAGCAGTGCAAACAGTTTCAGGTCCTGTTTACCTTTCCAAACTGTCACCTGAACCCATGCCACACACCCACAAGGAAGAGACAGACATTTAAACTCTGCATTTAAGCAAACACCTTCAGTTAAACAAAACCAAACGTGCCAATGACAAGGGAATCATCTAATCTGGTAATTAAGGCCAGCGATAAAAACACTAATGTGTAACGATCAGTTGTCAATGTCGTTATAACAGTTCAGCATGACTTTAACCAAACAAGATAGAACTAAATACTTAAAAAATATATATCTACAACCCCGAGTACGCTCTTCCCATAGCTAGAAAGTTAGCTTTCAAAGACACAAGTTAATGATTTCCTCCGCTTGACAGTTTTCCATCTCTCGTCAGCAGCCAAGCACTTGTCAGACCTTAATTAGCTAGCAATGCTAATAAAAACAGTGCAAATGACAACACCCGAATCTTGTTTACTAAATATATTTTCAAATAGCGTCCTAGTTGTTAGACAGCAAAGGTTGTCGGGCTAATTCCTCGGTAATTTGGCACCTAAAGTGAGTTAACTCGCCGAGTACATGGGGTTCCGCTTACAAACTAGCCGTCTTCCTAGCCGGATACTCTAAGGAAACGTCAACAACATCCGCTTCCGTTTCTTTACCCTGAGTTTAGTTTTCCGGGCACAAATTTACTTTAGACGGATTTACATTTCGCACCGAATCTCGAGATGTGCTCATAGATTTTTTAAAACGTGTAATTGTTTATCCTCTGCATCACATGTTAGATTTCCCTGTGAACTACCCGACTGAGAATAAACCTGCAGCCTGACAGTCTGTGCTCAGGATATAAATTATTTTGTGCATTATATATCTCAGCTCTGACCCCTTTCAAAGTTACTCGGAAACACTTGTTTTCGGCAGTTTAACAAACAAACAAACAAACAAAAAACTTTAGTATCGATCACTTATGTCCCTCTTTCCCTTTTTTGCATAACGAGACATAAAAAAACGCATCTATATCGAGGAAAAATCTATTATTTTGAGCTGTTTTCCGCTTTTTGTTCAAAACGTTTAGGTAACAGTTCAATCTCGTGGGACCAGAAAGTACACGTTTTAAAAAGCACAGAATTTTTTTTACTTTTCTTTCTTTTTTTCTTTTCTTTTTTTTTTTGTGCAAATTGTTCCTTGTGGGAGTTTAGCACTTGATCGCCAAAATTCCTATAACATCTGAAGGCATCAGATGATTCATACATTAAAAATGTTGCCGTATATATTTTGAAATATGGTGCATTGAGGACCAGCTCTACCATGTTAAAAAATAAATAAATAGCACGCGTCGAAAGTTTATAATGTGTTTGAAATATGATCTCTGTATTGTTTGTTTCCGTTGGGTTTTTTTTCTTTAATTTTGCATGAACTACGTATCCCATGATCCTCTGCGTTCGTGACGTTTCAGATATTTTCACATGACCGTAAAACAAGCAAATCTCTGGCGAATGCAAAAATCCTACCGTTAAAAATGTTTAAAACATTGCTCTAAGACCGTCACTGAAGGACAGAGGTAGGATGGAAGTTATATTTATTTATATTTATTTTTCGTTAAACCACGTTTTAACGGACTATGTACAAAAATATATGGATGTTTTTTTTAACGTTGTTTTATTTTTCTTTATATATATATATATATATATATATATATATATATATATATATATATATATATATATATATATATATATTCTTTGTATTAAAGGTGTCACCTCACAATATTTTTGTAAATATTCAAAACCAGTCACAGTTAGGATTTGTTTTTCAGTATCCTGTGCATATTTGACATGCCTTTGTTAGTTAAACATTGCCTTTTTTTAATAATGAAATAGGAATATTATCCACTTCAACAGCAACAAAAGTTGCTTAGTAGACGTTTTATAGAAAACCGTCAACTAAGCAACTTTTGCGCAGCATTTTCTCCTCCTCTGGTGATTTTTACTCAAAAACTCAGAATCAGGAAGATTAAAGAGGATATGACTCAACAGGAATTTAGAAAATTTTGGAAATAATGCCAAATAGGAAAGAAAATGCTGTAGAAATGTTAACATTAATTACAAAGAGTAAGAGGACGATAAAATGACTTAGTATAGGGTATGCTTTCAGACCAAAAAAATAAAAAAAATAAAATTAGGTTTGCTTCATGCATTTATAAATATGCAGGTTGTTTAAATAAACAATAAACAAAGAAAGTTAGTAAGGAAGATTTGATACCTGTTGAGTTAGATTAAACATTTTTCACACAAACCATCAAAGCAAAAACTAAAATATTTTTCCACATTCTTTATTTTTTTCTCATGCCATTATCTTTTAAGGGTGTTGTTATATATATATATACCACTATGGCAAGTTTATGATTTGAATCTTTAGGCAAAGGAATTGCTACTCCTGGCTTTAGAATTATAAAGACTTGAGAAATACGTGGGACTTGGAAAAGTAAAGATTAAGCATCTGTGCAATTAGATTAGAATAATATGAAAAAATAAAACAAATCGAGCCAATCTGTGAGGACCTCAGAATCTTGTAGAACAGTATGGAGCAACAGCATCATGATAAACAAATAGCATGGCAGGCAGAGCAGAAATAAAGCTGTGAAGAAATTTAACTCTGAGCAAATCTACCAAGACATTAATTTTCCTTAAAGCAAAGAGAGAGTTAGTCAAGAAAGCAGACAAAAGCATTTAGTAACTCTTTAGGACCTGCAGGTATCCAGATCTGGGAATCTGTTTTACAGGTCAACTGTAGTCTGCAGTTTGGAAAAATCCACTTAAAAAGCACAGCAAACATGTCAAAGAAGCCTTGGGTTCCAATGAAAAACCAAAAAAGATTTTTGGTTTTACCTTAGTTGCCTCGTTAAATCTGCAAGACTCATGTCTGCCTCCTGATCTCTGCATTTGGGTCCTCAAAAACCACCACCCAACTGTGACAGATACAGAGCAAACCTGAAAGAAAACATGTTTAACCTTCTGAAAAACCTGATATTTGAGTCTAATTACAGTCTAAAATTTCCTGCTAAATGTAGGAAAGACTTGAAAATAAACATACATTAGCAGTGTCTTTATTAACATGAGCTAGTTTGCAGAGGATGTGAAAAAGTTTCATTCTCCAGATATGCAAAGATGATAAAGAAATATCTAAAAACTTTAGTGACTCTTGGGTAGAGAAAATAAAAGCTCCACAAATGTGAGATATAAGTCATTGTATGTTCTGATCATGCAGTGTGTGCCAAAAATAATGAAGTAAGTTGAGTGTCGGACGTTTGGTTTCGGTAATTCAATCAGCTTATCAGCTTATATTACTAAACAAATACGTCTTTAATCTCAGTTTAAAGAAATTTAGGGGTTTCAAAACCTTAACAGTTTTCTGAAGTTTTTTTTTTAGATTAATAATAAGAACTGAAGGCTGCTTCTCCATGTTTCTCACTCTGGGTATTCAGAGTAACTTTGGTACTTTATCTTTAATGCATTCTGTTGCCAAGCCAAAAGTAACTTATAGACTAAAAACAGTATTTTAAAGTCTATTCTCTTAGATATGTGGAGTCAGTGTAATGACTGTAGAACTGGGTGATGTGCTCCACCATCTTAATTTTAGTGAGGACACAGACAGCAGCATTCTGGATCAACTGCAGCTGTTTGATAATAATAATTTCTACTAAAGGTGAATAAATTCATTTGTTTTTAACAATCATGCTGAGATTTTAATCCTTTAAGGTTCAGGTCTGAGTCCATCACTACACCCAGATTAAGTGATGGACTCCTATTGTCACTCGTGCAATATTATACTCTCTTACTGTGCAATAACACATACCAACTACTGTGCAGCCTGTGTAATTTTTTACTTACTTTATAAGGTCAGTACATCTCTCCAGTTCAAGTGCAATAATCCAAGTCAAATACTGCGTAGTCTTCCCTTAGCTCTCTACTGTGCAGATATTTTTATATCTAAGGGAAACATATTCCACGACATTACAACTTTTTTCTTTTTTATAATTTTTTATACTATATAGACTCTTTTTATATTACCTGTTGTATTTCTATCTCTAAGGGCATCTTGCTTTAACTCTTTGTAGTCTATATAAGCTACTGGAACCAGAATTTCTCTGAAGGAGTAATCCCAAGGGATAAATAAAGTTGAGTCTTAGTCTAAGATTTAAAGCATGATGGTTTATTGTTGTAATAACTGAACTGTGTTCTCACTCTCTTCCACTCCAAAGAAATATAGTGAAATATACGGAGTTGATACCTTGGAGTTCACCAGACCTTCCTAACCTGGTATGTCAGATCACTGTGTTTATTTCATAATGTCAAATCTTTGTATTGGAAATTAAATAAATATTTTTTCTAGGAAACAGAATCTGGGGTTACCTAAAATTATGTATTATCAGTTGAAAGGTTTGCAACCTAAATGTTAGCAGTGAAGAGGTCAGACCATGTAAATGATTTATCTGCACAGACAGTCTACACATGTTAGGAGTCAGAGGTCAGACAGATAAACAGTTGTGTTAGGTATCAAAAACAAATATCTTAGGTGATAGTAGAAGAGATTTAAGGTGGATCTTAAAAGGAGGAGGATTTAAAGAGATACAAAAAACTGATGATTTACATAAAAGAAAAATATATAACTAAGCATAATTTGGGAAAAAGTGAACATGTTTAAATTACTGGATGCATGCATTGATCTAATCTGACCGTCTGCATGTTTTCAATGCCGGTTCATGATTCTAATTGTGCTTTTACAAGACACTTAATCCCGTTTAATGGCACTGACAGCAAAAAACAGGTTAGGAAATACCATTGTGCAGTATTTGACAGTAGATGGCAGTATGCATTGTGAAGTTGTTTTTGAAGCTGCCAGGAAGTAGATGAAATAAGGAGAGAGAGAAAAAAAAATAGGATTTTCTTGGTAGCTCCAGGGCTAATAACTGGGTACACACTGCTAATATGCTTGTTGTTTCTCACAGTGCTTGAAAATAGTCAGTAAACAGTCTCATGTCTTTCTTTGCGGGCTAGCTGTTTAGTTGTACTTCCTGTTCTTGCTTCTGTGTTTATGTGTGTTAGCTTAGATTGTTGATTCAACAATGGCTCCTGCTGCTGACGGAAAGGTGACAGGTCTGCTGGCGGCCACCTTCACTCCTTTCACTGCGCAAGGGTAAGGATCCTTTAGAAGCTGCTCTAACACTGCAAACCTTTACATCTTTTAGTGATCTATTTGTATAACTGTGTGTATGTGAGACAGAAAGAGATATGATGATGATATGAGGAGAGTGAGTGTGTATTAGTTAAGACCTGACATGTATAACCATCATCATTCTTTACATTTGGTGTTTCTCTTTCATTTTGTATTCCACCATATGCATGGGACTATATTTTTCCTGTTTTCCCCAAAACAGTGAAGTCAACTTATCAGTGATTGGACCTTATGTTGACTACTTGAAAGAAAAGCAAGGTGTAAAGGGCATATTTGGTAAGTTCAAAATAGGGATTCCTTCTGTTGATCTTCATTATGTCTGATATGTTCCCACATTATGTCAGTATTAACCCTCTCATGCATGAATTATGATAAACCCAGTCAGGATTGTTTTTACTAAGAGTTTTCATACATCCCTAGGAATGTAAAACAAGGTTTGAAATGTTTGTTCTGTCTTTATTTTATAAAGAAATATTTATGTGTACTTTATGCATTTTATACTGTAAAAAAATGAATGCACCAACAAAGTAGTTGCATAGGTATAATTGTAATTTAGTTTTCAGTTGTAATATGGTATTCTGTTAGAATGGTGCTCCCCTGTAGAAACTGAAATAGCCGAGGTGTTTGGTCTTTTCCCCTGTGTGTCAGCCATCTTGGTTTTTTTTTCATTGCAATGATCAACAAATGGGATTTTTCTTTGTGGGATGATGCAATAGCTTCCACTAGATTGGACTCATATGCATAAGTGCCCAAAATTGAAGGCAAATATAAAAAAAATACTTTTAAACAGCTGTGCATTGTAGGGATCACTATGCATGAAAGGGTTAAAGATTCATAGCTGTTTGATCTATCTAGTTGGTTTAGTATCCTTCCTCAGCTGAAAGTGTTCAATGTAAAGATGCACAGATATTTAGCTGACAGCTCTTATGTTAATGATTAATAAATATACCATTGACAACTAGGGGTCTTTGAAAGTAGTCAAATCTTCTGAAATGAAACAATAAAACTTGCCTCTTCATCGTAATAAGATATGGTTTCTTATAAAGTTGCTCATAGTTCTTCTCTGTATTTATGATTTATATTTCATTTGCATTGTTCTGAAGATGTTTTTAACCCTTTTATTTTAACTTTTTGTTTCACTTGAACGTCTAACAACATCCAGTTTTTTCATATAAGATTATTGTAACTTATGTAAAAAAGAAATTGTGGTTTTAACTAGGGATGCACGATATAATCGGCCCCCTATCGGTATCGGCCTGTATCGGCCTTAAAACTGTATATCGGACATCGGCCACCCCACCGATATTTAACCCGATATTTGATCAGCTTCTGCGTTTCTAAAGTTAAAAAAATAAAAATACTACTTCTTCTTCCTCCTCAAAAACTTCTTTTTTACAGACTTAAAAACTTCTAAAGACGAGGGAAAAAATATTGATACATTAAAATATCACAATATCTTCATATGCTGATATATTGCCATTTAAAAACACAATATCAATCTTTTTACTAATGAAATATTGCTATATGTCATCGTTATGCTACGAAATACCCAGAAAATTCACGAAATTTTGCCATATTTTTATATGTTGATATATTGACGCGGTATCGATCTATTTTACTAACAAAATCTCACAAGAATTTGCAAAATATCACGAGAGTTTGTAACAGAACGATGAAATTTCACGAGATTTTGAAAGTAAAATGGATCGATACCGCGTTTTTAAAAATCGATTTGATATCAGCATATGAAAATATATTTGAGTATATTATTTTTCAAAGTGTCAGAAATGGATAACAAAACGGCTATTTTAAATGACTACTTATTTTTGTCCAGCTTTAACATCGGTATCGATATCGGTTATCGGCTACATGAGTTTTAAAGTATCGGCATATCGGATATCGGCCAAAATCCCAATATCGTGCATCCCTAGTTTTAACCCTTTATTTACTGGATGCATGAGTAGTTCTAGACAGGGGATAAAGGGGGCCTTAAGCCTATAAAAATATTCCTTAATAAATTAATAATAAAACCATTTCTTATGATAAAGCATGCGGCCACATAACTGATTAAGCTCTATATGTACCTTTAGTCTTTTACTTTAACAAGGATTTACAAATCAATGATTCAGAAATAAATGACATTTCTTTAGTTGATATTTGCCAGCACAGTATCCGTCACTGATAGGTCCCTAGGACCAATTTTATTTTTTATTTTTACCATTGCATGTAAGTGTTGATTTAAATATTATTCATTGCACTTTTAGTTTATATGGAGATAGAACCACCATTAGGTACAGAAATCCTTTCATAATAGCATTTTCAGTGAGCATCAATGTGTTTTGGGCTTGATTTGGAGTTAAATCCCACGTTTCCCAAAAATACATGTCACCTTCCTGAGCTCTATTATGGGTGGACACCTACATGCTGTTGCAAATAATTCTCTAAACAGGTGAACCTTCATGTACCTGGAAACTGAACCTCAGTATAATCCTAACTAGTAGAGGTTCCTAATCTCTTTGCTGTAATATTTTGGATTTTTTCATCATTGTGAGTTTAGAAAGCGCTGTTTTCCAGGTGTTACTTCATGCATCCAAAGATGTGCCTCAATGTAGATTAAATTTGATTAATTCACCTAAAATTTAATTTCATTATAGCTAAATTAGGCTGTAAAGAAGCTTAATTTAATTTGTAATTAAGTTTTGTCCTTCCATTAATAAGTTAATGGATGTGAGGCACTATGTGTAAATAAAACATGCTTTATTTTGCTTTCAGTCAATGGCACCACAGGAGAGAGTATGTCTCTCTCTGTTGCAGAGAGGAAGGTCCTGGCAGAGGAATGGTGTCTGAAAGCAAAGGGAAAGTGAGTGATCTCTAATTTCATTTCAACAATTATACATCCAGTTTTTTGTAGGAGGAGCAATTGATTTCTGAAAACTTGTCTTAACAGAATGGATAGCACCATCGTGCATGTTGGATGCATGAGCCTCAAAGACTCCCAGGATCTGGTGAGTTGTTTTATTGCCTAATGACAGATTATATAAATGTATGCCCAGAGTGTGTGACTCATTCCAATAAAACAGGTGTTGAGCAACACTTATGGAAGTGACTGTACCTTTAGCTGGTAAAAACAACAAGCCAGGAGAAGTGTTTGCTGCATTGTTCTTTTATTTGTTTGTCTTAAAAGTTCTGTTTTGTCCCTTTATTTTTAACTACATTTTCCCGCTGATTTTAAAACTTCAGCCTTGTAGTCTAGTGTTGTGTGTATGCATAATGCCTTTAAAAAGCATATTCTAACAGCCAATCACTGTTGCTCTCACCTCCACACTTGAGAATTTCTCATTCCCTGTATGCACAAATGGCAAAACCAGACTTTGATATGAAAGCATTACTTGGCAGTGGTGGACAAAGTACTCAACAGTAATACTTAAGTGAAATTATTGATAATTATAACCAAATCTCACTCAACTGCAAGTAAAGTTTACTCAGTCAAACATGTTCTCATGTATTGAAGTACTCACTTTCAAAAATATTTAAGTATTCAAAACCATATAGATTTAAAAGTACTTAAGTGTTAAAAAAATACTTAGTAATTTTCTAACATCAGTATATCTCTGTAAATGTTTCAGAGTATTTTAAAGAACCTTGTAACTTTCAGAAACCACCTGATTTATTGATGCATAGACCTGCTACAGGTTCTGCACCACCTGTAAAGGACAGAAAATATTTTGATTATTTTTTCTTATATAAAAAACAAACCAATGGGAAACAGGAGTGTTTCATCCTCCTAACACTTTCACTATAGAATAGAGGTTTAAGGTTGAATCTATTACAAAAAAAAAAAAAAAAAACCTGGTTTGAGAACTTGCCCTACGGAGCAACTTGGCCACATGGCAACAACTAACTGCTTAATAAATTGTATAAAATACAAATATTATCTGACCTGAGTTTCTCTCATTTGTGGGCTGTCATTCAAATCTCTAAAACAGTGGTTTCCAAATTCAGTCCTAAGTGCTGCTATCTTGCATGTTGAAATTGCATTTCAAGAAAGAAAAACAGCAACAGCAGATTAAAAAGCTAAGCTGAGCCAAAAGAAACAAGGAACTCGCAGCTTCTTAGCAATGAAGTGGAGGAAAAAGTCCAATATTTGACTTTGAAATGTAATCGAGGGAGAATTATAAGAACATCGCCCCTCAACCCTCCATAAACAAATGAGTCAATAAAGTAAAGATACTCAAAAATAGCACTTAAGTACAATAATCAAGTAAATGTACTTTGTTACTTTCCACCACTGATTATTTGTAATATAGTACCCTTTTCTCCTCCTTTTTTCCTTCTCTTCTCTTTTTCAGTGATCATATTTGTTGGTTTTGTTTCTCATGCAGACTTTCTTTAATTGTGACAATCATAGGGATTTTTAATTCAAGCGTATTGGTCAGTAAGCCTCTGGAAGCTCTTCTTAAAAATCCTTTTTCAGTCTATTTGCTTCCTAATAGAAGTGGCCTCTGTACAAACTCACTAAAATCCAGGTATAATCAATATGCAAACCTGCCCTAAAACAACAGCCATGACATATTTTTGCAAAAAATTTTGACTGACTGTGTTAAAAACTCAGGGCCACTGACTCTATTATAATCACCAAAGTACTTTCTCTGGTATCCAATTAAAAGGAAAAACATTAAAACCTTTAGTGGTTTTAAAGTCATAAGGTGTTAGAATATTTGCATTGCTTTAAACTGGTAAACAGGCTGAAACTGAGACCAACTCTGTTTCCTTCTCCAGGCTCGTCACGCTGCAGAGATTGGAGCTGATGGGATAGCTGTCATTTCTCCCTCCTTCTTTAAGCCCAAGTCTGCACGTATGTTACGTGTCATTTATTATCATTCCTACCATTGGATTCTGCCTCCGGTTTTCATTTATGTATCAATACTATAAGATTGTCTAAAATGTCAGGTTTCACCTCTTTCAGATGCTTTGAGGAGATTCTTGCAGGAAGTCGCTTTAGCTGCTCCAAATCTCCCCTTCTATTATTACACAATCCCAGCATTCACTGGGGTAAACGGTCAGTGCTTTGATCCTTGCTCACCTTTTAACTGTAATATTTTTTAAGCACAGCAAATGGTCTACATTTATTTTTCTTTCTGTCTTCCTCAGTCCCAGTAAGAGATGTGATAGAAGACATCGAGAAGCTAATTCCAACCTTCAGAGGAGTGAAGTTCAGTGGGAGCGACCTGCTGGACTTCGGCCAGTGTGTCAGCTACAGCCAGCCTCACTGGTCGGTTCTGTACGGCGTGGACGAGGTCAGTCATTCCCCACGTTATTATTTTCTCTGGTGTTGTTCTGCTATCAGGGCCAAAGTAAAATAAAAATTTAAGGTGTTTGAATTATTTGATCACTTTGACTAGATTGATGCTGCCCATCTTGGAGCATCTAAAGCTTTTCGCCAGTTGCTGATAGCAGAACTGGTCCAGCTTATTTGTCTCCATAGTTCACCGCTGTTCCTTATTTGGTCAACTTTTGATAAATACAGATCACTGTGGTCTTAACTGCAGTCATGGAGATCTTTCTGCTCAGTTGTCTTCCCATCACAGTTCACTCCTCGTCAAACTCCTTTAAATATTTCGCCTGAAGTATTCAACCTAACAGATTCAGTTATTTACTTATTTATTTCAGTACTCTATGGTCATTACTGTTTGCCTGATCAGTGAACACTCATTGACCGCCCCATTCTTTTTGCAACAAAATCAAAGAGGGACCGGACTGAAATGAAGGATGAATATTGACGGAAAAAAACTCATACCAACTGTTAAGTTCTGCATTGGATCTATGATGCTGTGGACCTGTGTTAATGATGTGAACTCTTAAAATAACAGCACTTTGTAAATAAAAACCGGCTGGGTTAAACCAGTCAACTGCAAATTGGTATTTTAACAGGATAAGAATCCAAAACATGGTCAAATTATTACAGAAATGATTGACCGGTCTGATTTATAGACCAGACTATGTTTTCTACTGTCCTCCCAGCTCCTTAACCCTGAAGCCATCCACAGTAATAACATCCTTTTTAAACAGGAGCTAAAATATTTAATCTAAATAAGACAGACACATTTTTTTTTACAGAGAACAGCTGTGGCTTTGCTGATGAAGATCTAAGAGAAACAGTCACAACCGATCTTATACCTCACTGTTATCAGTAGACACTGTGTCACCTTCTCATTGTCTGATTGGTTGTGTACTTAGCTGGAGTCCAGTCTTATAGTCTGAGTTCTGTGGCTTCTAATCAGCCTGGTTACAGACATTATCAAACCTAGTCCCGTGTCAGCCATTGTATTTATTAAAGCTGCCCAGTATCTTTCCAGTCTAATCATTTCTCTCCTTGTGATGCGTGCCAATAAAGGTGATTATTCTTGTCCTAATAAAAGAGATCTTACTTTATTCTCTGCATCAACTATTTAGATATTTTAGGTGTATTATTAAAATATTAGAACTTATTCATACCTAATAGAATTGTGGTATGATTGGAAAAATGATCTAAAGTTAATGGAGAAACATACACAGCCCTTTGCATCATAATAAAAGATAACTCTTAACACCAGATATAAAATTGTTCCAATCTTTCTAAAACAACTTTTTTATTTGATGTGCTGCAGCAATTGTTAGCAGCACTAGCAATGGGAGCTAATGGAGCTGTTGGCAGGTCAGTGATCTTTTACTTCCATTATCTGTATATTGCTATATTACACTGTAGGTAATTATGTTTATACTTTTCTCCTCCTATAGCACATATAACTATATGGGATGCTATGTCAACCAGCTGATTTCAGCATTTGAGACTGGAGATCTGGTCACTGCCCGAACAATTCAGGTACCCCAGTTTTTCTCTTATTTGTTGTCATAAACTTTGCTGTCTAGTTTCTGCCATTTTTGTGTAACGTCTGGTCAAATCTCCACCTACAGTTTAAAATCCAGGAGCTTGTTGGTTATGCCATAAAACTGGGTGAGTGATAGCCATGATCTTCAGCTCTAAAATTAGCTTAGACTGAGGAATTTGCCTGTAGCTCATTAGCCTACCTCGGGAGGAAAACTGTTTTTCTGTGTCTCGACAGGTTTTGATATTGGAGTGAACAAGCAGCTGATGATGGAGGTGTCAGGCTTGCCTCTGGGCCCCCCTCGACTCCCGGTGATGCCGTGCCCTCCCAATCACTCTAAGCTCATCATACAGAAATACCACAGTATTTTTGACTAAAGGTTCATGGGTTTAGTTCATTCAGTAAACAGACAGTCGTGCTTTTCTTTGTTCCTGTTGATCATGCTCACAGTACAGTGACGATTAGGACCAGTTACCAGCTTTTATATTCCAATTACCGCTAATCTGCCACCATATATTCACATGTATTTCTGAAGAAAATAAAAAACATATAAAAGGACAGATATTTCTAAATTGATCTTGACTTTTCCATTTTAACATTGCATTCTATTCTACTCTTTTCTATTCTATTGTATTCCTTTTAATTTAGAGTACTGGGTCATTTAACTACCTGTGTGAATGATCAGGCTAACTTTTTGGAAGTTTATAAATGGAAAAGTTTACTTTTCTTCATGTTTTGATCCATATGAGAAAAAAAGGTCAATATTTTTATTTTTTTGTTTGATCTTTAAACCTAAAATTTAAATTCCCCCCAATTGTCTTGAACTTTCATTTTTAAGGACAGCTTATGATCTGATGTTAAAAGCAGAAAAAGGCATTTATTACTAAAATAATGATCCAGTGGAGAATAATATGTTGTTTTTGTTGTTTACACTGAGTGTGTGTGTATTGTGCATTAAAAGGGAATTTAACTGAATGATCTGTATTTTAACACTATTCAAAGTCTTTACTAATAAATATTTTGCGATTCATGCCCTTGCCATTTTCTTTATTGCGCTGAATACACAAGCGCAAATTGTTTTCCATTTCTTTTAGGGTCATGAGTGTTTGGTTGTCCGTTTGAGTCTTGTCTGGATTGGGAGGTCAAGGGTCATGTTAGGTCGCTTCATTGCAAGGCTTTGCAGGAAGGTTGAGCTCTATCTATGCCCACTGTTGGCATAATTCTGTGGTTCTGTTGACAGATGCTGCACACAAAAATATTTGCAGATCACCCTAGGGCCCTAATCTAAACACTAACACGAGTCAGGACCGACGCTCGCTGTATTAAACCATATTTTATCTTGATAAAATGGTTTTTGGTCTTAGTTTTTTACTGGCATATAACGTCACTATAAGGGATATCAGATTATTGTTTAACAACACTGAGATCTGTGTCTGCATCCAAGGTCAAGCACAGAAAAGCTTCTTGTTTGGAAGCCTTGAGCTCTTTGCTGTCTTCAGATCAGTTAAAGAGCTTCTGTTGGTCTCTCTACTGTCAAACTTTCTGCAAGTTCTGTAGTAGCTAGAATAACCCAGGATCACAGTCAACTCTTCTCCATCTAGCGATTTGGTTCCTAACTAGGAAAACATAAATTTATTCTCATTATTTTCAGGTGTGCCTATGCTCAGACACTCATCTCTAATTATGAGTGTTGGATCATAACACAATGAATAAGATCCCAGATTCAGGCATCTTAAGCAGCTTCCTTTTAGGGTGGCTGGACTATAGGGGCGAGGAGAAGAGCAGCACCACTGCTCCTCCATGTTGAAAGTAGTCACTAAGGGCGATCAGAAGAAGTCCCAGCCTACTGGAGGGTAACACTAACGCTTGTGCATCAACACCAGAATACCTTATCAAACCAAACTGGAGACCAAATTAAAGGTTAATTATTACAGTATTTCTCAAAACAGTGATATTTCACTATGAATGACTATACAAGAGTTTTTAAGCGATAATTTGAATTTAGATTTAGCTGTAGAGTTCAGATCTAGCTGTAGGTATTACCAGAACCAACCACAAGAGGTCCCACAAGAGCTACACATTTACTTAGGTGACATATAATGACTTGCACATTGTTTGTGTGAATCCCTCTCTAAAGAGGACTGCCTAGGAGAAAACAACACAAATCTAGTGCTTATCCTCTTTCAGGCATCTGACAGCAACACTCCTCAGTGAAAGTTGTGTCTGCTCATATATGTTGGAGATTTTTATTTTGCATATCATTTGATGTGATAAATTACAGAGCAGGATTGTCTGAAATGTAATGATATGTCTAGCATAAAGTAAAGGCTGCAGTATTATTTCCTGGACTCTGGCCTGCCAAGCCTTCAGGCTGCACAGATTGGACCAGATGAGAATAAGACTTTAAACTCTGAAATGAACGTGGCAAGGCAAGGTTATTTAAACAGCACATTTCCATAGCAAGAAAATTCAAGGTGCTATAAAAAAAACAAAACGAAAAGTGCATTGCAGTGTTATAATGGTAATGAAAATAGTAAATATGTCTGTTTAAATGAAATAACAATGAAGTATAAAAACAACTGGAAAGATATAAAATATTAAGAAAAAAAAGGAAGTTGGACTCTAAGCAAATGGGGTTTTAATAAATTTAATTTAAAAAATGGGGTTTCAGCCCCTTTACCTGTTTCTGGCAGTTTGTTACAGATTAGTGGATCATAAGAACTAAAAGTGGCTTCTCCATGTTTGGTTCTGGTTCTGGATATGCAACTTGAACCAAAAGGCCTGAGAGGTCTGGTTGGTTGATACACTAACAGGGAGTCTGTAATGTATTTTAGTTTGCTTTAGTAAGAACGTGAACCACAGATTTCTGGATCAACTGCAGCTGGCTGATTGACTTATTAAGCAGAACCTTGAAGACAACATGACAGTAATCAGTTCTACTGAAGATGAACACATTAATTATTTTTTTTCAAAATTCTGCTGATATTCCCTTAATTTCAGAGATGTTATTTAGGTGATAGCTGGCCAAATTTGTTAGTGTCTTGATGTTGCTCTGAAGGTTCAGGTCTGAGTCAATTAATACACCAAGACAAAAGCCTGATTGGTGGTTTCTAGTTATAGGTTAACTAGAGCTGGTTGCTAACTTTCAAATGCTTTCAACAATCATATGTCATTTGAACCAAAAATTAAAATGTCAGTTTTGTTTTGCTTCAGCTGAAAGCATTTTGGCACATCCGTTAATTGATTTCTTCTATGCATTAACTCAGCATTGAAGTGGGTACATAGTCCCCTGGTGACATCATAACATACAGCTCTCTGTCTTCTGCATAGTTGTGATAACATATGCTGTTATTTATTATAATCTGAGGAGCATGTAGATATCGAATAGGAAAAAAATAAACTAATTTAAAATAGGCCAACCTAGTGTTCCTGTTTTATTCAGAAGCAAGCAGTGTGCAGGAAATGTATTTCCAAACTCAGATACAAGCAGCAGAAATGTTATATTTCCATAAGCATAGGATCATATTAGCATAGCCATCATAATTTAACTATCGGAGGTTTAAAGAGCAATGGTCCTAGGATATGAAGTGTAAATATGAAAGAAGACATTAAATGAAGACAAAGGTCACTGTTTTAAAAACTGGTTCTCTTCCTCTGTTGGTTGAAGTGGGAAGATACGTAGGGGATCCTGAACATTACTGTTTATATGTGATTTGTGATCAATGTGGTTCGGGATTAAGTTTTACTCTTTATTTTACTATCCTTTATGGTTGTGATTTGTGATTCAATTTCTTCAACAATAAAATCCTGATGTGTTGAGATGGCTATTTAATGAAGAGAATTTTAGCATTATTTAACAAAAATGTCTGCGGAAAGACAATTATGAATCCTCTATATGTCAAATATGTAATTTATTGTCTCTGTAAATGTTTGTTTGTGTTTGTATTATTTTCTTTAGTGTAGTATTTTTGTTGAAAGCCTGTTTAGGCTAGTCACTATGCAACATTAATAATTATCCAGTCATCCAACCATTTGTCCAGCTGTCCTGTCTAATACAACTCTCAGATTTGCTACAGAAACCATAAACATTAATAAAGATCAAGACATTAATTAATTAACATTAAGTAACATATTAATCGTTGACTATGGGAGAAACGGCCAAAGTTCACCACGGCCAGATGTGCATGTTGGAGCTTTGTGCATTTGCTGACAACAGATCACAAAATTATAATGTTAGTCTATACTATAAAATATTTATTTTCTATTTTATCATATTTTCACCTCTGAGACAAATTAAACCAGAAGCCTTCCCTCTCAAACATGGTGCAGCTGAAAGCAACAGTATAGCAGGAAAACAATTTAATTCTATGTGGTAAGCTTCATACGGAAGAGGATTAGGGCCACTGGGAAAAAAAAAAAAGTTAACTGACTTTTTAAATATTATTTCAGTACAATATGAGAAAAAGTTAGAATTCTGAGATTAAAGTCAGAATTCTGATTAAAATAAGTCAGAATTCTGAGAAAAATTCAGAATTCTGAGAAAATAGTTAGACTTCTGAGATTAAAGTCAGAATTCTGAGAAAATTGTCAGAATTCTGAGATTAAAGTCAGAATTCTGAGAAAAAAGCAAAAATTCTGAGATTAAAGTCAGAATTCTGAGAAAAAAGTCTGAATTCTGTAAAGTCAAAATTCTGAGAAAAAAACTTTTTCCCCATATTAAACTGAAATAAAATGTAAAAATTAACTTTTTTTTTCAGTGGCCCTAATCCTCTTCCGTAGCTACGTTTATGCATACATTTCTTTCTTTTTTATGTTTTTTTTTTTTCCCTTTCCTTTCTGAAATGCATGTTTTGCACTACTTTCTAAGAGAGCGCGGAACATTGTAAGCGAATTCAGTTCCGGACCGGACATATTTGACTGTGACACCCAAATCTGCGGCGTTTCCGGCCAGCTCAGCGCGTCTCTCCTGTGTGTTGTCACTTTTTACAGCCCGTCCGCCAGACAATCGCCGCTGCCAACCAGCTGGGACTTTCTCCAGAGCCTTGACTCACAGCGGGACACTTGGCAAAGATGTTGCTGCTGACGATGATCGCTCGGCTGGCCGACGGTCTGCCGCTGGCCGCTTCAATGCAGGAGGACGAGCAGGTTCACTTCTCAACCTTTCTACTCAGTCTAATAGAGGTTTTACTTAGGAGATATTGCAGTGACACGTTGGCTGACTAATGTCAGGTGTATCACAATAGTAGGGGCCCAGCCTCATCCAGATGGGATGATTAAAACCTATCTTTCAGTAGCTGTTGTGTTTAACTGGATTTGATCAGCTGAGTTAGAGCTCCCATCAATAGGCCCACCTACCTAAAACAGCTTACAGTAATGTTTTTTATTTAACATTCAAAAACTACTTATGAGTGATATATTCACACCCCATCATTATGTTTTTTTTTTTTTTTTTATGGTGGTGTTTTTGTTTACAACTTCACCAAAAAAAAGACTAATTTAAGGCTTGATGACATTTTGCATAGATTCTGCTTATAGCAATTCAATTCACAACACCTGTCATCTCAAGGCCCTTTACAGTTCACCAGATCATACAATCTATTTGATTCAAAGTTTTCTATCTAGGAAAACTAGTTGATTGCATCGACTCATTGACTCAAATGCAATCGCTCCACTAAGCATGGTTGTAGCGACAGTGGAGAGGAAAAACTCCCTTTTAACAGGAAGAAACCTCCAGCAGAACCAGGCTCAGTGTGAGCGGCCATCTGCTGAGACCTACTGGGGTTCAAGGAGACAGAAGCAGAGATACAAAAAGCAACTGTAAATGGCGGCCCAATCTAGGAAACACACAGCCAGGCAGACAAACTCCGAGCCAGAGCGGTAGCAGATAGCAAAAAACTTTTATCATAAACCAATTAATTTTGTACGGGCATTTTTTTAATACAGTCATAAATTCTGTGCTTCACAAGTCTGAATTTGTGGGAACAATAATGTATAAGACACTATTGAGTTATCAGAAACAGGAACTTGAATACAAACGGGTATTGTTGCCTTAAAATGACATGTTTTGTTTTTTTAACCGAAAGCAGTTTTTTTCCCCGTTACCTGACACAAAATTATCATCTTCATTTCGTTATAGTCACTAAAGTGCAGATATGAATCTATTAGAATTATGACGTGCTATAACTACAGTGCATTGCAAAGTCGGCGTCATCCACACTTTTTCATCTTTTGGGATCGTATGTGAAATGCCAACTCAAACTGGTGCATAATTTTAAAAGTAGGCAGAAAACATGTGATTTTAAAGATAATAATATGATAATTCTGCCATGGATTTACATCCAGACCTCTTTAATCTGGTACCAATGAATTTTTGAAAGGAAGTCATGAGGAGTCCTGTTCACCTAAGGACATAGGTTACACAGCTAATGATGTGGAAGTCAGATTCGACCCAATCCCCAGAGGGAAACATGATGATGGCTGCGTCATCCTTTTCTTCATCAGACATTTGAACCGTCGGATTGACCTAAATACATCCTTCAAGATCAATCCAGACATAATTTGGCGACGATCGGGTGTATTTTCCCGTTAATAGAAACACTGATATGGGTAAAGAAACTGAATGCGGCACAGGAGAAGCTGTGCTTAGTTTGCTTAGTTCTCAAATAGCTGATTATTTAGAAGAAGAAACCAAACTTTCATCCTCTCTAAGGGATAACACGACCAAGTTTCTTATCATTGGACAAGATTTGGTGCAGGTTGTTGTATCCAGCAGGCCAGATTGGAGATGTTTTTCCAGAAGAGGCCTTTTTTGCTCAATGTTCACCCCTTACCTAAATTTAGTCCATTTGCTAACACATATGTGTAAATCTTATATAAGGGTGAAACATTCTTTAACACATAGCTAAAACATTATAAAGATGTTTTTAATGCAAAAAAAAAATATATATATACATATATATATATATATATATATATATATTATTTTGCTGATAAAAGTTTAAACTACTGCATTCAAACTGAAGCTTTACTCTTATTAGCCTCCAGAGGTCAGTATTGGCATGTTTATGTTTTATTGGCATCTCTTAAAAACTGTTTCAATGTATCTTAGAGTTAAGGATCAGATCACAATTAGAAATGAAGACTCTTATCAAATCTGTGAATATTTTATGCATCAGAGCAGTGACATCTGCACTAAATGAGGCCCACTGTCACACAATGAGCTGTTTTGCTTTGTGCATAAGCTGATAGAAGTCTAACGTGTTTTTCTTTCACTCTCTTGTGTGCTCTCAAAAGGGAAGCGAGAAGGTTTGTTGTGTTTCTGCTCTGTGCTACATCATCCGTCTTCCTGTGATGCTGCAGTCTTAAAATTGTCATTTGCTGCAATCAGACTCGGCCTATAAGGGCCCGTCGTCACTCTTAGAGATAGCATTACCTTCATTTAGATGCACTCTCTCCAGACAAAGTATAGAACTTAATGAGTGTATGCATTAGAATCTGTGAGCTTCAATGAGTGTATGTTTTTCTCCCACTTTGTTGGATAAGTTGCCATTATCATTTGCTTCTGCCGTCAGCCTGTAAAGGGGCTCATAGAACAAAGCTTTTGTTATCCTCAGTGTTTTTTGGTTAGAATGTTCACCAAACTGCTTGATCTAGGTTTTGATTTTTGTTGTTAATCGTTCTGTAGGTGGGTCGAGATCTTCAGCAGTATCAAACTCAGGCCAAGCAGCTTTTCAGGAAACTCAACGAGCAGAGTCCCACGCGCTGCACTTTAGAGGCTGGATCCATGGCGTTTCAGTGAGTGTTTGATCAAAGGGAAAAAAATGTAAATTGCCAAAGTAAATTGTCTTATTAGAGACTTTACCAGCTAAACTCGATTGCACACTAATATTATGTTTGTTTCCCTACTCATTAAATACATTAAAACTATGGTTTCCCTCCATTTGTGGACTTTAAACCAATTTAACTATTTTAGCTACAAGATTGTTTTTTAATCCTTAAAATCTGTTGGATAAAATAGCAAAAAAAGACATTGTTTATAGGTTTTTTTTTTTCTAGTCCACTTCCATTGCTCTGTACTTTTGACACAACCTGTGGTTCTTCTTGCAGCTATTATATAGATCAGGGAGTTTGCTACCTTGTGCTGTCTGAAGCAGGCTTTCCCAAGAAGCTAGCTTTTGCTTACCTGGAAGACCTGCAGGCAGAATTTCATGAGCAGCATGGAAAGAAGGTCCCCACAGTATCCCGTCCTTACTCCTTTATTGAGTTTGGTAAGAAACAAAATCCACCTGTGGAGCCTGAAAATATTCCTGATGGTTGATAACATGTACTGGTCCTTTTCTATACACACAGCTCTGGTAGGAAGCTTACAAACACTCATCATGGACATAAATGTCTTCTGAATTTTAGGTTTTAAATGTTTATTGGGAATGTTATTTTACTAGGGTAGAATATGGGTACAAATCAACATAATACATTTGAATTAATTGGGAAACCTCGTGTTCACAAAGGATTTAAACACACAGTCTGAAATGTATACATGCACCTAATAATTGGTTAGAGTTGAATTACACTATAATGGGATGAATAGAATCGTTGAGACGTTTCTTAGAGGCCCTTCTGCTCTTGTTGACAACTCGAAGGTGGCTACAGCTGAGTGATTTAACCAGAAAAAAATCCCAAAATGCATCAAAATCTATTTTCAAATATTTAAAGTAGGCTAACATTCGGGTTTGGGGGCTTTTATTAGAGCAGTGCTACATGTTACACTGATCGGACCTGACAGAACAGATGTCACCAGCATCCTCATGCCTCTGCTTTGCCTTTAAGGTTGCACTATATTTTTCACCTGGAGAGTCGCACACTTTTATTAAGGCCAAACAAACTGCCTTCACTCTTATGAAAGAAAAGGCCCACATTAGTACATAATGCTCCTCTCTTATCCTATAAATAACTTGTTGTGGTCATTTATCTGACTGATATTAATTTGAGATAAAATAGAAACCAAAGTAAAGTTCCTTCTTTGTAACCACAACATTACTCAATAATCCCAATATAATAATAATAATAATAATAATAATAATAATAATAATAATAATAATAATAATAATACATTTGATTTAGCAGCACCGTTCTAGACACCCAGGGTCACTTTACAAACAACAAAAATACAAATACAGGGCAAAGAAAAGTATAGACAAAGAGTTATGGATACGGACAAGAACAGTGTATTTACAAATAAGCATTCTGGAACAGGTGGGTTTGAGTGTGTTTCATTCTGCAGAGGTCAGGTTGGCTGGAGTGAGTCCAGAGTTCGGGAGAAGAGCAGCAGAAAGCCCTGATCCCCATGGCGACAAGCTGAGCTGGGGTTACAGTGAGGAGGATGGAGTGGGAGGATCTGAGGGAGCGTTAGGAGGTCTGAAAAATATGGAGAAGCAAGGTTATGGAAGGTTTAAAAGTATGCAGGATTTTAAATTATATTCTGAATTAAAAGGCTTAGTGGTTAGAGCAGTGCGCTTGTGCTCTGAGAAGGTTGCAAGTACTCTGTTCGATCCTCACAGCCTGAACTCTGGCTCCCTGAGCAAGACCCTCAACCCCACACTGCTCCCCGGGCTCCGCACAATGGCAGCCCACCTACTTGTGGCAGTGTAATGACAATAAAAGATGGAATAAATAAAAAAAGAATTTAACTGGGAGCCAATGGAGCTGCTGAAAGACAGGGAGGGAGGGATTTATGAGGGAGTCCGGACAGAAGAGAGTTGCAATAATGAAGACGGGAGGTGAGGAGGCTGTGGACAAGGATAGAGGCAGCATGATTGGTCAGGGAAGGAGGTAGGAGGAGTCAAAGATGACACACAGACTCTTGACCTGAGATGTGGGGGAAGACCAAGGAGTTGTCAATGGGTAGAGGGAAACTATTGATCTTGGATAGGGTGAATTTGGTGGCAACAAGGAGGAGTTTGGTTTAGTTTTAAGGAAGTTTAAGGTGAGCCAGTAATTTCAACAGTAAGGGACAAGGGGGGAATGAGGAGGTGGGTTTACTGGATAAATAGATCTGGGTGTCATCTGCGTAACAATGAAAATAATTGTGGATTAATATCCTCAGTTCCATAAAATCTCCTGTCTGTGATGAGTGTATGTAAACTTTTGATTGCTATTACCTTCAAAAGGGCTTTGAGACAACTGTTTGCATCTTAATAAGACTATGAAACAAACTTTGGGGCAGAAGTGCATCATAAACTGTAGATACTGTTTGTTCATCATCAAGTTTGTTTACTTCATAACATGCAGATTTGGGAAATCTCCACGTCATGCTTACTGCAGTATCTGCTTTCTCAGACACATACATTCAAAAAACCAAGAAGCTGTACATTGACAGCCGAGCAAGAAGGAATCTGGGCAGCATCAACACTGAGCTCCAGGATGTGCAGAGGATCATGGTGGCCAACATAGAGGAGGTCCTGCAGAGGGGCGAGGCTCTCTCCGGTCCGTCTTCTTTTCTTACTGTCATTTAAAAATCAGAAAGTGCTCCTGGTTTGTATTTATATTCTGGCAATCCCTCACCTCCTTCTCCTTATTGTTCCACAGCGCTGGACTCCAAGGCCAGCAACTTGTCAAGCCTGTCGAAAAAGTACAGGAGCGACGCCAAGTACCTGAACACCCGCTCCACTTACGCCAAGCTGGCAGCGGGTGGCGTCTTTTTCATAATGCTCATCGTCTATGTGCGCTTCTGGTGGCTCTGAGTGACGACAGAAGAGGAGGTGGAGGAGAAGAGGAAGGAGGTAGAGAAGTTTAAAAAAAAACGAACCGCACACAGTCTGGGGACGTAGAGAGAAAGCTTTCACTTTTGATGAAAAAACAGGATCCCTGATGACCTTCCAGACATGCTTTACCAACCGCTCTGTATGTCCTCACCTCGTCCGTGTGTGCGTGTCTGATCCAAGACACAAGATTTCAGAATGCTTTGTTTTATTATTAACAGTTATACAGTAAAACTCTCGAAGTTGCCCTGAATTTCAGAGGAAATGAGTAAACGTGCGAGTGTGTGTGTGCATGTATGCGAGTATGCAACTGTTTATGAAGGTGATTTGTGGGTAAGTCAAGAGGAAAAAAAATAAAGCTTCCTGTGCTGTGAGCTTCTAAAGCTGTTCTGTCCTATAAAAAGGAGTGTGCGGTTTAATTTTCTGTGTCTAATTATACAGATGACAGATGCTAATCAGCTATCTTGAAGCCTGATCACGTTCCTCTGGCCATGCTGGTCATTTCACATATCTATGGGGGGGCGTCGTATTCTAAACTCGCAACTATTTAGAAAACAGTTGATTAAAAGTAGGGTAACTTCTGGTTTTTTGTTTTTTTTAAAGCTTATTAGGGGATGCAGGTGAAAATAAAAGTAACTGTAAAGAGAATACGCAGCTAAGTTTGACTCAGACCTATTATATTCCTGCAATTTTCATGCAAATGGCTACATGTGGATTTGAGCTCATGCTTTATATTTTACACATCTCTAGATATGCACCAATCTTATGAGAAGGGATTGGAACTGAACAATTTTCCCATGATGGGCAAACAGTGAAGGTATTGTAAGATCTGTTGCTTTAAATGCATCAAAAATAAAAACATGCACTACTCATAAACCCATTATATATCCTTTAGATTAAAACGTCCATCCTTATAAAAAAAAAAAAAAGCTGCGCTCATTGCTTAAGTTAAGATTAGGATTTTTACTTTTTTTTTTTTTTTTTACAAAATGAGTAGATCTCACCTTAAAGAATCGGGAAAGCCTGACCGATGCATCTCTAGGCAGCAGTCTTGATTTTTCCTTTTTGTCTTAGTAAACTAAGCCACAGAATAGCTGTATTTCTGTTTCTATTTCATCGTTTCCCACTTCTGTTTTAGCCTGACATCTCTTCTTACATTAGGGTCGCTCACTTATTGAAAAGACAGCGTTTTGGAATTTCCTCAATTCTGTGTTTACCGAAACTGAACCGACCACCTCAGTCTCTGTGTTGTAAGTTATTAAATTACAGAAAGCTACGCACTATGTAATCTGTTTCTTACCTTTTATGCATTTCCTTTTATAGCTAAGAATATGTTTAAACTGAACAGAAACGAAAAGTGATGTTTGAGTTGTTGGAACCTTTGAACGGCAAGAAGAATAAATGCCTAAATAATAAACGACCTAACTTTGCAAAGGCTGTGGCATTGAAGTCATTTCTCTTCAGTGAATTAACATCCAAGATTGTTTTGTAGGTTTTTCAAACTGGTTCAAGTGTCTGTGTTGGGCTGTAGGTGAGTATGTAAAGCACATTGTAGCTTTGCTATCAAATAAGGTAGTAGAGTGGGAAATGATTGAATATCACTCCCATGGAAACTGAAGTGGGAAACAGTTGATGCATTAACCCCTGAAATGGAGCCTTCGCTAAGGGAATAACATCAAACCCATCATTATTATGGTACTGATGCAAGTCGGAGAAGAAGCAGTGTTGCAATGAGGATGCTAATTACTGTGCATTGTTTATTCTTTTCCTATTTCTTTCAAAAATGAAAGAATTTTAACATCTACATTAAACGGCCAAAGATTTTAGCAAAACCAATCACAATTGAATGAGTTCGGAAATAATTTTAATGCTCTAAAAGACAGAAAACCTGCAAACGCAACAAACAGCAGAGTTATTTGACCTGTATTGTTTAGGATATTAAGTGAGCCACAGTTGCATGACCAGAGGTGGATGGTAACTAGTTTCTTTTATACTCACATCTACTTGACTTACTTTTAGAAAAAAATGTACTTTTAAGAGTGGTGTTATAGCATTCTACTTTTTTCTTTTACTTGAGAAAAATTCCTTTCTAATCCATCCATTGTGAGTAACAAGCTTGTTTTAAACAAATATACAACGTTGATGTCATGGTCTTGGTTCT